TATAGACTTTGTGTTCCAAATGGCGCGAAATGTCCACGTAAACTGTCAACTTTGCCGCTTCGCCGCGCGTTTATGTCGCAGACGCTGGAATCCTCCGGATTTCACCGAGCTCGATCGTTATTTACTTTCAGTTATGAGTTTCGCGAAAATATTTTTATCGTTCTATGTCAACCGCGTTATAAACTGCCGCGTTTAACGCGTATGCGAGCAAACATACTGATTGCTTTGGCGCTTACGAGCGTTGTGCAGTTTCTTTTTTTCCTATTTTAATGTTAAATCAAATACATTTTGTGAGATTCCAAATGAATACATTTTTAATCACTAATTATTTTTTAATATACAATTTTTAATTATATTTTATATAATTATATCCCGCATCAATTTATATTTTCGTTTTAGAATACTATAGACTCTAATCGCATTCATTTAATAGTTTACCGACAGTTAGAGGATTTTGATGGATCTGTATTTTAATTTTTACGCTCTCACAAAATTGATCAAATTGATTAACAAAAAACCGTGTGATTGATCTCGTTGTCGCTTCTGCGTAATTTAATTTATCAAATGAATGACTTGGTATAGATCAATCATTGATCACACACACAAACACAGACACACACACAGGTGCGAGAATTAAATCGAATTGGAGAACATCCCTTCCACCGTAATTTCAAGGTTCGCGAGCCTGTCAGGCGTCTATATTTGCGGATCAAGTCTACTCGAAGGGAAACAGTTCGACGCTGGGGTCCAAATCGTATTTAAATCCCACAACGTATGGTAAATCTTCCTAGCACAACGAAAAAGATTTATCGATAGGAGATGAAGCATACAAAGATATACATTCATGTTAAACAAATATAACGTTTATACATTTGCCACGATTGAAATGTACAGTACCAATTAATCCTCTAGCGATCGCTGTTCGTTGATATATCCAGCTGAGATTTAGAAGGATTTAGAGCCGCAGAAAAAGAATTCTAAGTAAATAATTACAAAAAAGTTCTTGTTAATTTGATATCGTTATTTTATATTTATTGACAAAAAAGTAGTGAATTTAAACACTATGCTATATAATCGTGATGCATTTCTACTATCATTTATTTGAATATTTGAGGAAGCAATTCTGAAAATGTTATTAAAAATTGATATAAATAAATTATCACATTATTCTACATCAATATACGAGCTATATTTTCCAAGGAAGAAAGAAATCACATTTTAAAAGTTTAAAACTGCTATCGTGTATTATTTAAAATCTTATAAAAAAGAGAAAATTGAATAAGATGAGAAATGAAAGACAGATCTTTTTGCGAATAAATCATACTTTTTTCAAGTTTTATCAGCGACATTTACTATTTATCTGCCATTATGGGCAAACACTCGCTGTTCGACTCTACATCGCGTTCGCGAAATCATCGAGGGGAGGTACGAAAGAATAAATTGAAAGTGATAATACGGCGCGAGCTGCCTTAATGCGCTGAAACGCCCTCCATATAACTCTGATAAAGGGACTTTTCTCGTACGATTTTGCCTTTGCATTGTGATCGCGGCGATTCTGCTGCCAAGGCTCGTTACGAACCTCAAATGGTGCCAGCACTCTCTGAGGAACACGGAAACTTTTCGTACGTTTAAACGGGATTTCCATTATAGAGACATAACACTTATTTAAATTTCCGAATATGATATTTTATCCGATTTCCCGGTAATAGGAAGTCTTTCTTCGGGCCGCGAGCTAGCCAAGAAGCAATAATCAAAGAATACCTTGAATATTGCTGACACCGCCTCGCACCGCCTTGATTTCTTCTACTGCTAAATTATTAACGTTTACAGTGCTACGCAAATTTTCTAATTTCAAACTAAATCGACCATTTTTCTGATTTAAGATTTTCGAGTTGAAATTTCTTTAATTTGTGTTATATATTAAATCAGATGACTTTTTGTTAGAATTACTTTTCGCGAACGATAATTTTGTATTGTGCATAATGTAACGCTTTATTTCTTACTAATTTAATTGTCATTAATTTATGCTTTTTATTAATTTTTTGCTATTTTAATATTTTTTATCATTACAAAATTGAGATTCGAAATGTATATAAGATTAAAAATAGAAATAATTCAGTTTTTTCTATACCAAAAACTCTTCTTTGTACAATGTCGGATAAAAGGATCACGTGGCATTCGTTTCGTGTCTGTCGTAACGCTGTTCAGATCCACTATTTGATGTCAGCTTATAGATCTACGTGACTGACGATGTAACAACGTTCTCTTTTTGAAGCTTGCGGGAAAAGCAATACCTACTTTCTATCTAACGTCACGGTTCGCTGAAGTAACTCGCTGTACGGCGATGTACGTGATACAAAATGTGTATGCTCATACAATGTAGTAATCATAAAAGATTTGCAAAAGTTGTGGTTCGTTGAAAATAAAGAAATCTAGTTTCTGTGGTAAACTTTCGTAGAATAATTAAGTAAAAGAAATCATTGCTTTTAATTATTTAATTTAAATAAGAAGCAGGTTTTAATAACTTGAATTCTAGTTTGATCTTTAAATACGCAAGAATATGTAATATAAAAAATCGGAAAACCTGAATGTATAATAATAATAATCACTTTTTTAACATTTTCGATAAAAGAATTATCTTTAGTCTCTAAATTGAGCAAAACTACTAGACACGTGACAAGATATCTGAATGTTCTGACACTACATCTAGACATATGACAACGTTCACTTTCTGCTTTATCTTAAGTACACATTTCATGGATTCTTATTGTCATTCTCGACACCGGCGGAGTCTAACATTCACTTAAACAGTTCCTTAATCTGTGTCATCCTTGTTTACGCTGCTTCGTCATTATCGTTAATCATAGTCTTATGGATTGTCATATGTACGATATATACGATATATACAGGATATAAACCGACAGCCATCGATTGTATGTACGAAAAACTTTGCCTGCGTCATCATCTCGTTGCAAAAAAAAGCGATGCAAAGTTTCGTTCGTGCAAAAAGGAATACACCAATGTGATAACGTGAGCGCTCGTTTTAGCTTCTGATATAGGAACCCGATGAGAAACTTCGATAGGATTTTATCGCGAGATAATAAATGCTGGACATAATCCACTATACATACATCATCATAGTATACGGACAAAATGTTTGTAACTTGAGTTCTTAAGAGGAAAAAAGGTGTCAGAGAAGTATTCATGATTAATCGCACTCAGTGAAATTAATTCCGCGAAATCGAAATAACAATATATTTGTTTTAGTCACCATTACAGATAATAGAGATTGTAGATAATGTATAATAAACGATGCGCAGAAATAAAATATTCCGATCAATTTTGTTATGAAGACAATAATAAGTAATTACACTAGGAAAATAATTTTTTAACATTCCAGTTGACATTTGAAACCCGAAATTCATAGCACGTAGACTTAACGGTGATTCTGGATTCGCTTCCAAATAAACAATTTTGATGGATGAAGTTTAATATGTCTCAAGAGTATCTTAATACATTATTTGACGAAGTTTCAATTTAAGTTTTCTTCATGGGATTCCGATTTCGCCGAACGGCGCTTTCGGTGCGCACGAATTACGCTGGTGTACGGTTCCGGGCGAGAGAGAAAATACGCTCGGCGAAGTTCAACGGACGATATTACGGCAAGATTAATAATCCTCCCTTCCTTTCGATTTCTTAGGACCGCCAGAAGAAACATATAGCCGGTTGATTGCGATAAGGAAATTTCGGCTTGTAAATCTACGGAAATCCCCGATGCGACCTCCAGCAGCTTGGGAGAAGTCGGCGGGTGGCTGGTGGAATGGTATGGCGGGGAGGAGGGGGGGGGGAGGTGGTAGATCGGCTTCCCCCGGGTATGTTTATCTACCGGGTGTGCCGTCTGAATCTAACCGCGAGAACGGGAGGTGAGGGCTTATCTTTTATCGGAGATTCCCGGAGTTCGGAGACTAGGATTGGCCAACGGCCAAAATGGTAATGCAACCCCGCCGTCAGCAGCCGCCGTTGCCGCCGCCACGCTCCGGCTTCATCGAATCACATATCCCGATATTCACTTTTCGCTTTTCCGTACGACTTTTTCCTTCTGCGGCGAGTGGTTGAGGCGATGACAGGGGCGCGGTAGATAGGGAAGAGCGAAATCCGGCGCAGCATCCGCACGGATGAGCTCCCTGCTGCGCGTGATCGGTTTGACGATGCGTTAATTGTGAACTAAAAATATTGCATTCAACCGTCAAAAGAATTATTAATTTTTATACGTATGATGCATCGTGCATTCAAATAAATAACGCAACAGGAATTTTACATAAAATTAAATTTTTTATGTTACGTCGAATTCTTTCGAATTGTCGAAATTTTATCTCAGTAACTTTATATTTTAAATTTTTTCAGTAAATTATTAACTAAATAGCCAACTGTTTATTTGTATATAGCAAATAAGATATTTATTAAATATCTTGTTTAATTATTTTAAATCGTTGATATTAGTATTTTCATGATAATTTTGATATTATCAGGAGAAAGAATTTTTGAAAACTGATGTTCGAAATTAAAGTAAAGAATGCAAAATAATTGTTATATTTGTTTTCTGACATTGATTAATTCTGACATTGAAGTGATATAGTTTAAAAGGCACACCAAAATATACAATTATCTAATGATACAAATATGTAACGAAAAATTAATTTAAATTATTATCATTTACAGTCTTATATAAGCTTTATACATTATAATATTATTTTCTATATTAAATAATTACTTTTGTCTATTTGGCAGCTTGTCTATCTGGCAACTTAAAAATTGAAATTTTTTTAAGAAAAATTAGTACCAGAAATCACTAACAAAAAACAGTGTATTATATCACTAAATTTTTATTTATAAATTAAATTATATTACTGAATTTATTTTTATGTAGAAGCGTGTTTTTTTTGTATATACAGTGACGACTCTTTATTAATTCTAAATTAATAAGATAATTGCTTTTTAACATTTTGAAATACTTAATTCTTTATAACACGCATGAAAGAAGAAAGAAAAGAGTTTGATATTATTAAATATGGCAGGCTCTAAAATTTGTTTTTCTTCTATAATTCATTCTTCGTAATCGTCTTCCAGTCTTCTTTAATTAAATCTGCTCCCTTTTCGGCTATCATCATTATGGGTGCGTTTGTGTTTGCGCTAGTGATCGTTGGCATGATGGATCCATCAATAACTCTCAATCCTTGTATTCCGTGAACCTTCAATCGAGAATCCACGACGGTCGTAGGATCGCTTCGAGGACCCATTTTGGCCGTTCCAACGGGATGGAAAAGCGTAGTCGACATATGTCGTAGGTTACACTCCCAATATTCCTTGGAGTCAAGTTCGATATCGCGACAATGTTCAATGTCGAGAAGTTGCAGCGAGAATCCTTCTCGCTTAAATATCTCAGTATTCACCAGCTTCTTCACGAAGTCCACGGACTTCAGCATTGTTTCTCGATCCTCCTGCTCGGTGAAGTAATTCGCGCGGATCCTAACGGATTCCGTTGGATCCTTGCTACGCAGTCGTACCTCGCCCCGGCTCTTCGGATTTAGCAGAACCGACATAATATGAATTATATTCATTTGCATCACGAGTGTCGAGACCTTCTGTATTATTTCTTTGTCGAAGTTTATACCCGACAGAAAGCCGTGTGTTATATCTGTGCGCCATTGCGACAGATAAAGATGAAGGAACTGAATATCGGGATACTTGGCGGTCGGGTCGTTAACGTTGACGAAGCCTTGAAAATCGTGGCCCGAGGCACTCGCGAAGGAGCCCTGATTGTACATTAAGTACTCGTAAGCGTCGTCGAGAGCGCGCGTGAGCGGCGGCGGTGTCGCGCTTTTATTCTTGAAACCCAACAGCACCCCGGCCCAAAAGACGTGATCTTGCAGATTGTTGCCAACGGGCAAATCAACGACGCTGGGTATCCCCATTTCGCGTAAATGCTGCTCGGGCCCGATGCCGGACAACATGAGGAGTTGCGGAGTGTTGATGCTGCCGGCCGACGCGATTACTTCCTTCGAGGCCTTCACGTCGATCGACTTGCCGTTTTTCAGGGCCACGCGCACTCCGACCGCCCGACCGTCTTCCAGGATAACGGTGTCGGCTCGGGTGGACTTCATCACGTAGAGATTGCTCCTGTCCCTGATCGGCGACAGGAAAGCTTTCGCGGCGTTGTTCCTGCGACCTTTTTCCGCGGTTACCTGAGCTACGCCGTATCCGACGTATCGGTCGCCGTTGACGGCGTCCAGAACAGGCACGTTCAGTTCACGTGCAGCGTCTAAGAACAGTTGATTCAAATCGGAGTAGGAAACGTTGAAGTACCTAATGTTCATCGGTCCGCGACCGCAGTATTTGCTTCTCCACTCGTTATTCTCGCTGTGACCGCAGGTGATGGATTTCCTGAAGTACGGCAGGACTTCGTCGTAGCTCCAACCCTTGTTACCATTTTCGGACCACGTGTTGTAATCTCTTTCGTTGCCGAAAATGTGAAGCATGGCATTTAGTATGGAGCTGCCGCCAAGTGCCTTGCCTCGTGGCCATTTGCACCTCCGATTGTTCGAACCGAGGCAAGCGAATTTTTCACACTCAATATCGTAAGAATAATCTTGCGGCGTTTTTAGTTGCGCTAGAAATACTGCGGGAATCTCGCTTAAGTACGAAGGATTCTCGCCAGCTTCGATTAACAGTACTTTCCAGTCTTCTACTTCGGTCAAACGATTGGCCAGCACGGAACCGGCGGTTCCGCTGCCCACAATTATAAAGTCGAACTCTCTGTCAGAATTCGCAATCTCTTCTGAACGATCAGGTGGATAAATATCGCCGTTGCCCAAGCTGCATTGCGCTGCTAGAAGCGTCTGCACTAGATATGGGAATAAGTTCGCAGGAGTAGCGGTTGTTGCAGTCGCACAACTCGCAGCCAAACATGCCTCCATGACTCAATTGCACACGCGATGACTTAATTCTGTAAAAAAAAATTTTTTTTTTTACGTGTACAGCTGAATACTACATCAAAGGTCAATTCAATCAAATAGAAATAAATTAAAGATACGTAAACAGATGTATTTTGAGATACAATGTAAGATTCGCGACTTAACATAAATTTCGAATAATAATTTCTGAGAATGCGGCGAACGTAATATGTTTATAGTGTCAGATATCGAGATTGCGACAAAAAAGAAATTTTTTTTTTAAACAAATAAAGTTCAAGATCTCTGATTAAAATAAAATATTTTAAATTGCATTCTAATCCATTTTTCGATAATATCAATTCGTGTTTCTTTCATCAAACTCTCTAATGGAAACTAAAAGTTTCTTCGATTGTTTATTTTTGAGAACAAAATAATTATTAATTTTCTGCCAAATATTTTATTCTGAAATACCTATATAAAAATAAATTTCGGTATAATTGACGGGAAGAAATATTTTTTTGCGAAAAGAAGTAAATATATAAGTAAACGTTGAATACATTTTTCTATTTTTATCTTTTGTTTTTATTTATTATTATTAATATCTTTAATATATGTCCAGCATTGATTATCAGTCATCATTCATAAATATTTGTGACATGAACCCAGTTTGACTTCGGATCTTTTTACATAATACCGCATCATCATTGTTCAAAATAGCATATCAGATAATGTATTACCGTCATTTTTTCCCCCTCAAAATCTCTTTCTCTCTCTCTCTCTCTCCT